TTTTCAGAATCAAAGGAAACAGCCAGTTTGCATGATAGTTAAAGTGAGGTCCTTTGTTAAATAGAATATTTGAGTTGAGCTGAACTGAAAAAAAATCCTTAACATTGTCAATATCCCGGTTTTCATATTTGCAGTAAAGACACAATAAAATCAGTCAAAAGAAAAGAACTGAGGTGTATTTGTGTAACTGACAGAAACAACTGCTCCAGATGTACCATCATCTTCCCATAACATTGCCTGGATTCATGGTTACAGTCATTGCTCCGATCCCCCTCCACAGAACGCATTAGGCCTATCAAATCACTGTGTGTAAACGCTAATGCAATTTCAATGGGCACTGTGGCCATTACATGATTGCTGTAATGCATTTGTGTGCCTGTGCTGCCCATGTGACATTTATATGAGGTCCAACAGGTTACCCTGGCTCATCACACACACACACAGACTTACACACCTACACAACATTTACATACCCATAGGCTGAAAAACTGCAGGAAAATGAGAAGTGCTCTCATGGTCGTTACAGATCGAAATTATGTTTCTATACGATTACACTGCACCGAATACGTTTTGTGGGAAACGTGATGTCTGGCTAGATTGTGTTAAGAGGCAATGTTTGCTTTGGATGAATGATGGTGATCTATTAATGGCAGCAGAGTCAGGAGGTGGTTTGGGTGAATCAAGGGCTAACACAGACAGGGTTTACATCCAGAGTCCATTCAGTGGTTTGGTGTTTGCTGTCAGAGTGTAAACATAACCACCAACATGTCCATACAGATGTAGGGAGCCTGTCTGTTATCATTTTACTAATATATTATTTTTAAAGTTTATGCCACTCGCCAAACACAAAAACTGTCAACATATCCTCTCAACGTCAATAGAAATAATAAGCATCCTTTACAACGTATTTTCCCGTTGCAGTTTGGTTGTATATAATTTCGACATAATTTCCAAGAGACGGGGTTGAAAATAAGGACATATTGAATCAGTTTCTGAAGAGTGATGTCTAAACACAGAACTTTTTATATCAACCTCAGGACTTTTCGAGTAATTAACAACTCCTCAATATGGCCAAAAATTAAAAATAAAGATTGAACATAGCCTCTAATGATTTTGTACGTGTTCTAATTAACTGGTTTATTCGGCTGATACAAATCATTACAAAGTACTTTGAAGTTTTAGCTCAAAGTTTTTAATCACTTGTTTCTCAAAGTGCTGGAGGTAAACCACAGGTTTCCCAGGAAGTCATATAGAGGACTGTGAGTGAACAGTAGAGGTAACTAGAGATCGTTGTATGATGGGATCACAGCAGCTGTCAATGTGTCAGCATTACAACCCATGAGTACTCACCTATACTCAGCCATGATGAATAATGAATTGCAAGAGTACTCAGCTATCATTTGGTCATTATTACAAGAGTACTCACTGGTCATTATTACATTATTACAAGTAAGAATCCCCGCATTATACATATC